ATCTAAGAGTACGTACAACAGTGCATAACTTGACGAGATAAAATCATTTGTTTCTTTTAAAATTTATTTTTTAATTTTTCAAGTGCAATTTTTGTAAAATATAGTCATTTTCTTTTCATCATTATACAGAAAAATGAATATTTGAATGAAGAAATGATCAGAGATGGTTTTTAAGAAATATAAAAGACAATGGTAAAGAAATGAATAATCATAATAATATAGTGATAAAATAATAATGATAACAATAGTACGGATTCTTTATGACCTTGCAGTTACACGCACTTATTGCTGCTCTCGATCAAAATTGAAGATCAAGTATGTATATTTTAGTTCACAGTGTAGATGAATAGAGTAGTAAACCATCACTGGTTTCAATATGCATTCGAGAAATTGGAACAAGACTAGAAAATTGTGTCGAGTCGAGAAATTGGAGGCTATCACCGAGTTACCCTTCCCCTAAATTTCTATTATGCTATTCAGTTTTCAGATTTTATTAAATATTTGCAAGTGGATGTGGTGAAAGCGTGTAGGTTAGATAATTTCTCCGAAAATTACTCTCTCATTTTTACTATTTACATATACATTATACATGCGCGGATAAATCATATTTTTCACTTGACCTTGGCCTAGCTTAGCTTTTGTATTACTTTGACTATCTTGGATTAACTGTAATTGTATCAAAAGTTGAAGCAATCTCTTCTTTTATTGTACAATTGCAGTTTTCAAATTTATGATATCATAATTTTGAATTACATGCAAATGTAACCTTAATGAAATTACTGCTTACAATTGATACTTTCTATTATCTATCTCAAGTAGATTGGTTTCGGTCAAAAATTATAAATATGAGATATTATTGTTACTTTAGAATTACAATAAAAGTGATAATGGCAGTCATTCTTAAATTTGAAACGAATAAATTAAAAGAAAATGTGATAATGAAGTTTGATTACATAATTACTTATATTTTGTACCTACAGTCACTTAGACTGGACATCATTATACAAATATTTATCTACATGAATTATTTTCAATCGAAATTAATGCTAAAAATTTTTGTCTTGATGCATTGAAAAATATTAACTTTGATGATAATTTGAAAGAATAGCTAGTCATTAAAAAGTCTGATTGCACAAATCAGACAGTAATATTGAATGGAAGAACGGAATGATTTTATCGTACTAGTTAAATACTAAAGTTGGATAAAATCAAAGTTGACAATAATTACAAGTAAAAAAGACAGTAGCTGTAAACAGAGTGGACAGGACAGTAATCCTGACTGACTGATTGAGTAAAAAGTAAATCACAGACAGACAATATGCATTAAAAAAGCAAAAAATTCCGGACCTTTCAATATAATGTGGACATTATGAAGAAAACTGACGTCAATGACACTTTATGCCAAGGCCATTTGGGTCCTGATCACAATTGTCCTCTCATTTTTTTTGCAATAGTTTTTGCCTTTGGCTAATTTGTATTAAAATATAGCCAAACATTACATTAAAGTTATATTTATTATAAGCGTAAAATATTCAGCAAAGTTGGACAAACTTTGAAATGGCAAAATTATTTCGCTTCTTATTTTGCATTTGAATTCGTCAACATTTGTGTATAAAATTATATTTAAAAGGAAAGCATGAAATTACATGCAACTATGCAATGGTACTTAAGACAAGAGAAGATGACTGTACAATAGTATACAATAATGATAATTAATAGCAGTATTAAAGGCAGTAACAGTAATAGTAATAATAGTAGTAAAATACTGTAATATAATATATAAATAAATTACAAACAAAAATTTTTGAAATTTTGAAATTTTCAAAATGAATTACAAAGATGGTAATGTTATGATGGTGAGAGGTGGAGCAGAGTTGCCCTTGGCCTTGCGCAATGCCTTCTTTTCTCCGCTACTGACTTTCCGATGGATTTTGCGGCAATTGCCATTGTCTACTTAATTTGAAAATTGGCTACAACTAGGTCATCGGGTCCATCGCATCCCAAAATCCTTCTTCAAGTACACCTCTTACTTCTCATTCATATTGCCTGCCCATTCTAGCATTCATCCATCCATCAATCTGTATCCATTTATATCCATCTATATCCATCCACCTATATCCATCCATATTTATCTGTTTATCCATTCATCCATCCTAGCCATATAAAACAGAAATGATGATGTCTTAGTAAATGAAATTTATGATATGCAGCATGAAATAACTTGTATATAATTTACAGTAATGCATAAATTTGTTATGAGAAAGATTTGCTAATCAAAAGAATTCTTTCATATTATGCTCAAATGTAAGTTACAGTGACAGAGGAATCTTTATGAATTGAGAACAAGCAATGTAGATTTAATGGCTAAATTTGAAGTCATTCACTATATAAAATGATACTAATTTGAATTGTGAGTATTGCAACTGTTATACTACAATTATTGCTATTTAAAAGTACTGTATTCATTGGAGGCAATAATATTAATTAATTAAAACATAAAAATTGGTGGTAAAAAGTTGCAATTTTTTTACATTATTTAATACTTACTTGCAATCAATTACAATCCAAAAATGACTGCATACTGAAAGCAGTCGAAAGGTTGAAAAGGGACAATTCTAAGATTTTCGTTCTTCAAAACAAAGTTTACTACGCAAGCATTATTCATTACAGTAAGACAGAAAGCAAAATTTGCAGAAAGAAAAGCATAAGAATGCAACAGAATACAAGTTTACAAAAGTATTTATTGCAAATTTAGCATGAATATACAAAACTCAAATCACTTTTGTACTCTTTTAAGTAAGTAATATTAAAGAGTTAAGTTAGAATGACTTATCAAAGCATTTGTAAGCACATCTCTATTCCCTTCTATTCCACGTCATTCAAGAGAAAAAGTAGTTTTGAGCTGAAAATTAATTCGTTTCTGTGATAACTTGTATTATTGTAAAAGTGATGGTTGAAAGGTTGTTAACCTTCTGGATTCAAAGGGCAAACCAAAGAAATTTATGCACAAAATGAACAAAGCAACAAATCTGTGCCATTTTCTCACAAATTATTCAAAATATAACTTCAAAAAAACAAAAATTGTCGCAATATTTTTTGATTTTAGCCTGCACTGCTAATAATCAGTGTTAAATTTTTGATTGAAATAATTGAAAAAATCGCAGTGCAAGCAATACTTCATGCCATAATGTATTTCAAAGAACAATAGTTTTTGAAATTTAAAAATATAAAAGTAATATTGCAGATTATATAATATTACTACTTTGAAATCATACTTTGATCCAAAATCAATTTTTCGTCATTATTTTCAAATTTTTTATATCAATTTTATTATCGTTACTTTAGACAAAACTTTACAGTACTAAATATTTGAGTTATTTCATCTGATAATTAATCATTTCCAGTATAGTTTGCAATTATATTTTTTTGATTTTGCTTAATATAATTAATTATTCATTTTTAAATTACTAGAAAAATTTAATTGCACAGTATGAAATAATAATCGTTAGCTTTTGGGAAATAGTAAACTTTTAAGGTCAATTTATAGGATAGTTAGAAATCTGAATTTTATTCTTTCAAAATTCAATTAAAGATTAAGCTTAAGCATTGATTTTTAAGGCTATTGAAGGCTGGAGATAGTTAACTTAGTATTAATCATAACTTATTGCACACAACTTATATCTGAATCTAACATTGAGCTGTGCAGAAACTATCTCCTACATAATTATTCAATCATTTTAACAATGGGCTTTGAGATTATGAAAACTACTGAAGATTTAATTTAGTATGCCAACTTAACATGCTTAAGATAACTTGAAATATTCAAGTTAGCAACAATTCAATCCATAATAATTGTCACGTTTTCGTTTATTCTAATCCAGAAACAAGTACAAGTAATCAAAGCAGTTGGAATGTTAGTTTAGATCGCTTTGATATAGCAGCAATATTTGATAAATAATATTAAATAACTGAATGGCTAACAATATTGTCTCCAATTATTTTAATTCCTACAGTAATTAAGTACTAACTATTTCAACTTCAGCTTGTATTTTCAATATGTTATCATTTTTATAAATAAGTAAAGTAATACATAAGCTCCATAGATGTATAATTGTGGCAATTCAAAGTGAAATTTGTATGCGTATAGCTGCGAACTCAGTTTCACTCTTATTTGATTTCAAAAAGAACAAAGCGTAAAATACCGCCATATCAAACATTCAAAGCTATCAATCCTTCTCACAATATACTGTAATTTCTCCTAGTTGTAATCAATTTTCTGGACAGTAATGCCATTGGTTCCCTGCAAAATTCAAATTTAGCCAATAAATCCTTGAGGAAAATCTTTATATTCCAAATATTTTTGGTTCCAGATACTGAAATATTATAAAAATTACATGATTGCCTTATAGAATAAAATTGTGGTGTGAGATTTTAATTTTCACTTTGGCCTTGACTTTGACCTCGGTTTGAAACTCTTAAACTACGTTTATTCTGCTTTTATTGTGGAATTGTGAGTGGTTCTCTTGTTTTTTGTCATTTATGGTGGTAATTAATGGTCAACTCATAACAAGTGGATAATTTAGGTCTTATCTTATTGCATGTTAAATGTGTAGTTAGTCATCAGAATTTTCTTTTGCTTTTCTAGAATGATAGTTTTTATTTGCTTGTTAATTTGTTAGGGAATTTCCATCATTTTAGGCATAATATCAAGTTCCATAATTTCAGTTTGTTCCGAAATTTGTCCTACATTTATTTTTACATCATATTTTGGCTCTTATTAATTAATAAAAATTGACGAATGTTTAAGAGTCGAGAATTTGGTGGTGATTTGTTTTAGGTGTGAAATTTACTTTTATTAATTGTGTTTGATAACAGCGACTATAATTTTGACTGTAACTTTTTAGAAAAAGTAACCCAAGAATTTGTGATGAAAACACGTGTATTCTGTAGAATGCTGTTTTTATCGTTTGCATTTTTTTTTCCATGTAGTATTTTTCCAGATGTCTGACGTCCATTTGACTAGCATTCGAAATGCATCCAACGCAGAAGAAGTAATTTCGCGCATAAAGCAAATTGTGGAAGCAAATGATGTTTTCACATTTGCTCAGTTTCTATCAGAACCAGCAGTAGAAGCAATTAAAAATGATGAAAAACACCACAAATATTACACTTTGTTGCAAGTTTTCGCCTATGGTAAGTTTAATTTATTGTCATGAATTCCAAAGTCATTCTTATAAGAGATCAATTTTTCAAAATTTTGTTTGTGGAAATGTCAAACCATTCGTTTAAACTTATAATTTTCATGGCTAATGGTTAACTGAAAAAGTCTGGATCAACTTTTTGGCATGGGTTTCATGAGGATTGAAGTCTGTTTATTATTTAGTGAAAGTTTGCATTACATGTTTGAAATATTAAAATGATAAATGTTGGCTCCGTTAAACATAGAATAATTCAGCTTCAAATAGTTTAAATTATTAATGTATGCTAAAAATTTTTCAAAATATAACATTCAGGAGTATATGCTGATTCAGTTACACGTAAAGATGAATTGCCTGATTTGACTGAAGCAATGATAGAAAAATTGCGGCTACTGACGTTAATTACAATGTGTAATCGTTCAAAGATTTTTTCGATCAAAGATGCCATGAATGACTTGCAGATTTCCGACCAACAAACTTTTTATCGTCTCTTTATTTCTGCTGTATATTCAGGTATTATTCAGGTTTGTTTTTATTACACTGGTAATCTATAAAAATTGCCAGGACAACTTATTAGCCATATTTATTGTGGCTACTAACAAAAGTCTTCTTATTTTACGGGGCTTTTTCAACAGAGTATTTTCCACTTTCGTCAATAAAAGTACCTAACTTGGTAATATTAAAAGAATGAGACTGATTCACTCGTGTGACTTGTGTCATAGAAACATTCTGTTGCATAATGCAGATATATGTACTTGAATATCTAGTATGCCGACGATACTCTTGTATTAAGATGGTGTAAATCATGGATTAGTCTATGTTATTTAAATATCCCCAATATCTTTGTTGCTTTAGTAAATTTCAGCGACTTCATTGCTTTTCAAAGTTGTTTTGTAGGGACGACTGAATTGTCAGAAAGGTGAAGTTGAGGCTTTCTCATGGAAGAGTCGGGATGTTGCTGATGATGAACTAGATGCTATTTGCCATGAACTACATAAGTGGATCCAGCAGTGTAACAAAATTAAAGAAGAACTGAGTCGTGTCGCAAAAATTGCGGAGGATTCCGTTACAGAAGCTGCTGAGCGCGAAAAAAAGGTACTTTATAGTCTAAATTTGTCGCAATGCGTCACATGTTCAATGAGTCAATGAGTAGAGTCTGTAATAATCACTGCAAAATAATGTAGTTGCTGAGAGTAATATTATACTCCTTGAGTTTAAATCATTTCATTATTTTATCAAATTTTTAATAAAAACATGTGAATAAATTATTGTAGGCTATTGAGTAAAATCTTTATATCAACGTAAAATCTTTGTTATGAAGTACTGATCTTTCTGTTGTATTGAAAAATTCATTGTAGTGATTCATTCTGCTTCAATTTTCGTTTAGTTCAAGATTTTTATAATTAGTATTAGAAGGTCAAACTTAAATATGTTGCTATAAGATTGTAAAAGCCATAAATATTGCTTAAGAAATTGCATAATATTTTTATGTGACGAAGTTTTTTTCAGTATGTAATGGAAAAAGAGCAATAGGATGAATGATATACTGATGAGTAAATTTTGAATTAGTGCTCGTTAACAAAGAAACGTTAGGTCTGTTACTTTAGTAGTTTTTCAAGTTGGAATATAGTCATTTTTAGTAACTATTATATACTAATTCCTTTAATATAGGTTGCGGAAGAAGCAGCGAAAGTGCAAAAACTAATTGAAGGAGAAGAAAGACTGCCTAAAGAATTATATCGTCGCGCAAAATCTCAACGAGTAAAAAGATTATAATCAATTGTTGCGCTTCATGCGAACATGTAATGCACATGGATATACATACATGTAATATAATTGAAATCTAAATAAGTTTATATATTAATGCTTCTCATTCCTTTTTTCTTCATTTGTAAAGTTCAAATAAATCTTGAAATCAAGAATTATTCAAGATTTAATTGTGGCCTGGAAATCAAATTGTACAAAATTATAGTTCTGTTATATGAAACTGATTATCCAATTTCTTCGACATACTCTATTTTACTGTTCTTATTTCATAATTTAGCATAAAGTGCTTATTTCTATTTTCTGTATATTTGAAAGTTAACATATTCATTCAAATCGTCGTGAATTCAAGATTTCTCTGACAGTGACGGTAAAAAGCAATCTTCCATTTCCTGAAATACCTTCTGCTGTGACTTACAGACCTCACGATATCATGTTAGGGGTATGCATAAACCAGATAAAATTTTCACTCTGCTTGAGATGTGACGAATGATTTGTTCATTAAAAAGAGATCAAATATATTGTGTGAGCAAAGACATTGAAAATCTTATGCTCTAAGAAATATGAGTGATGCCTTACGTTTGTCAGTTTGGACGAAGATTGAATGATGAATCGAAGGGTAGAAACAAACATGGATTGTTTGATACTTCCTCGTGTTGTAAGTGATATTGTTGATGTGTATATGCCGCAAAGAGCGAAAAATTCGTGTGTGACGTCAAATTGTGTCAATATGCAAGTAAGACCAACACAAAATGCTGAAGCGTCGGTCCAGTCGGTTTTTTTTAGAACTGTAATAGAAGTTAATAAATATCACAGTCATTTACAAACCAAGTTTTGTATTTAGTTCAAATGTTTGAAATTAAGCCGTCTGTTACTAGTTACATACGAGACAAGAATTAATATCAGGTGTAGTACCATTGAATTTGCTAATTGCATTTAGAAGTATCAAGAAAATTATAGGCACAAGCATTCTTGGCGTTTCTCGACGTATATATATCTAAAAAGTATTTAAGAATAGAACAGTTAGGATTCGAAAAAAAACTGCACTAAAAGGGTTGAATCATTTCATAAAAACTTTGAAATTAATAGTAACTGATGATGCAATAAAAACTAACTTTCAAAAATGGATCTGTTATTGCGCAGCGTTCCAGAAGTGCTGTTAATTCGTTCAAGAAATTCGTATCACATTCACCACGATGCTTACGAATATCATTGATGACACTTCTAAATAAGCAATCTCCTTTCGAAATATTTCTAGTTCAAAATTATTTAAAAAGCATTTTTAGATCTGTTTCGAAAATCTCAACTATTTACAGATAACTTGCTATAACTTTTAACATTAAATTTTTTCTTGCAAAAATAAGCAACTCATTAAGTGTAGCAACTGCATTGAAAACATTCGATGAACGTTGTCGTAGTGTCAACTGATTAACACCAAGTATTTGTTGTCTCAGTAACAATAATTGACCAATCTGAAACAATGATATTACTACATTCAGGGAAGGGTTCTGCGTGATAAACTTTGTGTTTAAGAAAGAATTGTCGGAATAACATCTTTTCACACCAAATTTTTTCCTGAGTCAAGGATATAAAATTTAAAAATCTTCGAAATTAAGAAATCATTTCAAAACAAACAGTATCAGCTTGAAGGAAAAATTAGATTTTATAAAAGTAAAACATGCTTTGCTGACAATACCAATAAGTCGTGAGGAATTTGGTAAAAATTTTGCTAAAGCGTTGTCAAAAACTTTCAATCTTGCAGAAACCACAACAGTTTCTGCTTTAACAATATCATCCAGCAGAGAGGAAATTGTAGGACATATCATTTGAGATAAATATTGACAAAGTTCACACAAATATTTAACAATATAAAACGATGCAATCCGATCTAAGGCGTGTAGAGCAAGAGGTGAAAGAGCTTCCTGAAAAACATAATACTTAAAGTTTAATGTATAAAAATTTCAATCCCATAACTAAGATAGAATTTCAAGGTTTTTAAACATTTTATTAATTGATTTTCACAAAAACCTGATTATTAGAGAGGTTTACATTTTAACTGATGTAAGTCTATTTTTTCCTCTTTTTTTTAAAATTATAGATATTAAATATCAAGATTTATATTTACTTCATTAAATCACCTGAACAGTATTCAAAGATTCTTTTGATAATACAGTCTTTTTATTCTTCAGATCGCACCATATTCTCATCGAATTCACAAAATAACAGGACCTGGAATTTATCAAGCTCAAGTATCTGCTTTTTCATATAAATTATCCCATCTAATCAACAAAGTTTCTTGCTTTGGATCGGAGGCATTCATAATCCGAATATATAGGCAGTGTAGAGGAGTCAATGATCCGTCAAGTGATGGGATGTTGGGGATTGGAGCTGATTTTGATTGATATAAGCTTTCATCTTCACTGATCTGAAATACTACTTTATTTACAACAACCGAAAAAAACTTCATATTCTCCTAATCTATGACAAATAATATTTAGTAGCCGTTTTAGCACAAATAAAAAAGAAAAACAAACTGGATGTCTTAAAAAGGCGTTACATTCTTTTTCAAGCATATAACCGATAACACGAGCTAGTTCATTATGCCAAATTACAGCCCCATTAAGAGCAATGTGTTCACACATATAAATAAAAGCTCCACGTAAATGAGCGAACTGATTCTTTAGATTCATCAAAAAATCGATCAAAAGTAAGTCGGATGCTGACTGTGAATGTAAGGTGGTACAAATTCGATCAACTAATTCTCTACAATGGAATTTATATTTCATCTACGCCATTCTGTTAATAGTCATTTTAAAACAGGTTTAATGAACCGATCTGAAAAATTAGTTCTCAAACTATCAATCGCATGTATAATGCAAAACATCAAGTATTTAAAAAGTTCGAACAAACTTCCTGATTCCATCTAGAAGAAGACTGGACGGATCCACTCGAAGTGATCCAAGTGTTGTTAGCTGCATCGTTGATATACCAGAAGAAAGCATTGAAATTGCATGAGTTGTAGCAGCAAGTTGCTGACGACGATCTGAATCAGCGAATTGGCGAACATCGGTTTTGTTAATGAAGCATTTTTGAGGGGGATTTAATAAATAGACCACTTTATCAAGTAACGCGAACAATGAACGTGGCACAGCCTGCAAAACCTTTGTTAATACAATTTTATCATTATGTTTTTGCTGAAAGCTCTAACAAGTGAAGTATGAAAACAAGATGTTGCACATAAATTACGAAACTGATTTTAGAAATTCTTATGAATCCTAACAGTACACTTGAGAATAAGATAGATTATCCTAAAAGTTTACCTGAGAATAAATGCAAACATTAAATGCATATTTAGGTAAAAAGACAATCACATATCTCTACCTGAAGAATCTTTCGCAATTTTATTTCAATTAAACGTGAATAACACATCGATATGGATGACACTCTCTCTGGCGTTTCCAAACGCTCCAATGTTAATTTTATTGACTCAGCTAATTTAACGAATAACGAACGTATTGGGAGTGGATCAATTTTCACCATATTTTCCATGTTTTCTGCCCATCTGCAGTTAGACATTCTTTTAATAATTAGCGACCTAATAATAAATCAACAATATTAGAAAATGAATTACTCTTAAACTTTCTACCGTCGCAAATGTGACATTAAAATTCTAATTTGATGATTATTAATGAAAGATATAATAAAATGAGTGAAATACTGGTCAATAATCGCCCATCCATATGAAAAATTTGTAGCCAATTCCACCTTTTTCAAAAACGCTTCATCTAACATACAGTAATGCGAAAACTTAGTTAACAAAGCTTGAATACTTTGTAGGTATTGAGAAACAGCAACTATTCCAGAAAGATCATGCATGTCGCTCACCTATAATAAATCACTTCAGCTGACGTATCAGCGATATTTTTTCGTTGATATCATTCTAAACAAGCTTTTTGTGAGAACTGATAAATACCAAATAACAGTAGTAAACTGTGACCCTTTTGCAAGGAAGTATTTGGGAGAGTATTTTACAACAACAATTGCCCAAGGTAATTGAAAGATTTACAAAATAATTTAAAAAAAAAAAAAAACACATCAAACAATGATTTTAAAACATGTAAAATTGATAAGAATTATCTTGTGATAAATGAAATAATACTCTAACCAAAACCAGTCTGAGCTAGAACAACAAATAAAACCTGTTCCAATCGGTTTTTAAAATCTGAAATTATAGAAAGAACATCTGGACTAGACACCTCTAGTTCTTCAATATTCTTCTTCAAAAGCAAAAGCCATGAACTTAATTTATCTGCAAAGGAAATACAACAAACATACAGTTTTAAATTTTGAAATCGATTCTTTCATTTATTTACAAAGTCGGCAGAATACATATTAGATTTAAAATGAACAAAAAATGCTTTAAAGTATTTGAATTACAGATTAGAAATTTAGAATATTTAAAGTCCAGATTAAATACTAAGAATAATTATTTCGCAACTTCTTACCATTTCTTTTAATTCTTTGCAAAGGTAATTCACTTCTGAAGAGTTCAGCCATTTGAATAATATTTTGGCATAATTCTTCCTTCATTTTCAATACATCCATATCTTTGCAGTCAAGAAGTGAATGAATGATCTGGAAATCAAAATTGGTAGCCTACTCAACAGTAAAAAGGAAAATTATTTCAGCAAATTTTCGCATGCACGTTAATATTTAAACGTAGTAAAGACAGATATAAAAAAGCCAACCTCTTTATAACCGTATTCGAAAACTGAAAACTCAAGCAGTTTTTTGAAGAGATCAAGAGAACATGATAATAATTGATTATTTACAATATCATAGAGTTGCGCAGCACGCTTGCAATATTTTAAGGTACTAGGTCGATCTGAAAACGAAACACTGCAATAATGACATTGTGGATTTGAAAATGAAGAAAAACGGTTTACAAGTAAAACAGTGATAAACTCACAAGAATGTAACATTAACCATTCCAAATGTTTGTTTGATACTGTTACTGAGTCAGCAAATGATATGACATCAAATATTGAAAATTTTGTTACGAAAGGGTAAGTTGTCGCTTTCAATGCACATATGTGATTTGCAGATATTTGTTTCACTGCTTGCGCATTAATTACATTTTGTAAGGCATTACTTGCTGCCTTATAACGATCCCAGGCGTCTATCACATTCATTACCATTCCCATGTGCAAATGAACCACCTAAAAACATGTAGCAATGAAAATTTTTAATGTAGCAAATTATGAAAATTTACAAACTTCAAGAGCCTGGACAAGGAAATTTTCAAGGATATGAATCTACATCTGCAAGACTGTAAGACGAAATAGAAAAAATTTATAAGAAGTTGAAGTAACTGAATCAAATATGAAAAAAAAAAACCCATAGTTTTCAAATTATTCTGAATTATATAAATGTATGAACATTTTGCAATAAGTTCGTGTTCATCAGCCCAGCAAACCTTTAAATGAAGAACTTAAAGTACTAGTTTCTAGACGCTAAAAAAATAGTGTAATTGGCAGTAATGACTCTTGCCATTACTAAACTTTTAAAAAAAGGGGAAAAGTGAATAGTTTGTGAAACATAAAATTTATAAAGCTTAAAATATAACAACAAACCCATTCATCTGTGAAGAAAGTGTCAATAATATGACGCATAACAATATAATCAGAATGTAGTAGTGAAGGCACAAAGAAAAGGCAAACAGAAAGAAATGCTCGCTGATAGCGTGAAGCTCGAATACCACGCGGATAAAGTTCACATATTGCAAATTCATCCTAAATAAAAGACTACTTATTTATGCCCTAGTATTAAGAAGCAGCAAATACAAAGCACCGCTATGAAACTTTTACAAATAACTACAAAATTTTGAAGTTTTGAACTTTGACTTCACATCAATTTTTAAAAACGAAATATTTTAAACTATCATAAATATATCATTCATAATATAAGAACAATTTATCATTTTAGAATATGAAAGAAAAACTTTATGAACGAACATCTCATAAAAATATCTATAAACTGATATCTTCATCTATTTACGGCTAAATATTATCGTCGGAAAAACAATACTTACTTCATCAGCAAATAAAACATCTGTATGTAATACTAAAACTACGTTGTTGATGAAAGTCTTATTCAGAGGTATTCGCCTGAAGCACAAAACAAAAAATAAGTGAAAAATCTTAGTATCTTAGTATCATTGTAAAATGAACTGATTCATTGCAGGAACAAAAACAGAAAACAAGAGGTCACGCGTAACCGTTTAAATAATATATCCAATTGCAGTAAAATTGCTTGCAACAATTTACTATAAAAAAAGAGGTTTTAAGGAAATGTGATACATTAACAATAACTAACCGAAAAAGCTCTTCTCGGTTTCTAGCTGTTTTAAAAATATCTACTACAAGATCAAACCGTTCATTGCTTGAAGGGCTGAAATTTGTTAGCATTCATATTTTGAAAACAAAAAATTTAAGCAAATATTTAATTAAGCTTAGAAACAATATGTTTATAAAAAATTTGTTTTCGAAGACTATATGCTTCCAAAGGTGCGTTTATACTTCCAAATATTTTTGTCACAGTGGCATAAACAGCAAGGCATAAATCTACACAGGGAAAAAAATTCAATAAAGCAGCAGAATTATTTTTTATTAAAAATTGGAAGATTTCCATATTAGAAATTTAAGGATGCGCTAAAAAATAAGGAGATTATTTGGAATCCTTAATTTTAATCACGAACTATCAAATGTGGTAAAATACTACGGAAAAAAAATAGCTCTAATCAGGCAATGGATTCACATTACCATTATAAATTTTGTCAAAAATTAATTAATAAAATAGGCAAACTTCTTACTTGCTTCTGTAATGCGCGACGAACAATCGTTGTTTTACTTCACTCGTAAATTTCTCTTCTAAAGCCAACAAAATTACACCAACGATGTAGAGGGCTTCTGCCTATCAATACCAATAACTTAGTCAAAATGCAAATACTAAATTATTTACATAGATAAAATTGGAACCTGATGTAACTACCAACCTCATATTGACATAATACCAGAAAAGCAGCAGTTCGACGCATTGACAAAACATTACCAGATCGTTTATCATCCGCATACCTGAAGGACTGTGATACACTATGAAATGATATAAATTTCTGTCATCTGAACAACATCTCATCAGTTTTTTGTTCTACGAAAGCAGTTTCTAAGCAATTTTCATATTGGATTGATTCAAAAGTAGAGAAACAGTTTTAAAGGATAAAATTAATCATACCGATAAATATCCACACAAAAATGTTCTCAAAAAACGACGATAAAAAGTTACTCAATGAAATCGGCCAAAAAATGTGCAATAGCATCAAAAAGAGCGCCGAAACGTTTAATGTCTTTCTCAAATGTAAACAAATATTCATCTTCTAGCTGTGCACCGTTCTGAAAATCTGTATTATATTAAACAACATAAGAATATAAATGATCGAAAATTTCATTACTTCAAGATAAAATTGATCTCGACTTGAAAGGTCATACTTCTTATGACTCTTTTTAATAATACACCTCACCTCAGTTGAATCAATAAAGCGATCTATGACGGAAAGATCTTCAAAGTATACGAAATCAACAAGAAATGGTTTGAATCGACTTCGTGAAGGATCTTTAAAATCATTTGGAATACAGTCCGCTAAGCGAAATATTTCTGCTAGAATTGCATGACCCGTCTCCACCAATCCTTTCAGAAAGTTAATGCCAAAAATATCCCCAGCATTTGTCATTGCAAACTAAAACAAAACCAAAAAACCAGATTACCAAAACAAACGCACTGAAGTTATGGAGGATACAAAAATCCATCCATTACACAAAGCACGAAATCTAATCAGGTAAAGATTTTCTGATCATTGCTTTCATTTTGAAGTGATAAGGAAGTAAACTCGATCGAAGTGATGAACAGATATTTGACTGTCAGCGCTCAAGTGCCAGGAATTAAAGCACATGAATGTTCTGATGCTAGAGTAAAACTTTAGATTTAATTACCAGCTTTATCTCATTCACTTATAGGGAAAAACAGTACTTAACAATGACATAGAGAAATAAAAAGTACAAAACTGTTTGAAGAAAAGCTAACTAAAAACAAAAATAATACTGAGAAAACTGTCACATCAGGCGGATTTTGAGTAACAGCAAAACAGTAATGATTTGAACTATACCATTTAGACAATAAAGATAATCGTGATGATAGCAATAATAAATCATAAAAAGAACTAATTAAATGACATGGAATCTTGTTGAATTTAGCCATGAATGTTAGCTGTTTCTTCAAAAATCAATACAGCGGCCTTTTCGTTCCCAATCTCCATAACGAGTAGGTTCTAGACCGGCAGGTCCACCAATTTCTCCAGTTTCTGGGTTAACGCCTGCAATGTATGAATCTTTATAAAAAACGGAAAATTATCTGTCGGTACATTGAGTACAAGCATACTTAGGAACACAGCACGTCTATATCATACTATCCTTTCTGGTAGTGAGACAGAATGAGTTCGTGTTGATCACACTAAATACAATACCTCCTGGATGTTTAGGGAGAAACGGATCATCATAAGGTTTGCTCTCGCCTTGTACTTTATGTTGGTCGAATTTACCACGTGGGGTCTTCTTTAAATTCTCAATATCTTTTTCACTTAAAACACCTTTTTCAACACCAGCAAAACAGCGTTGGTTGCCACAAATTTGCAATATATTACGAAGGCGTAGAACTCGCAACATCTGAAAAAATATTTAGCGCTATAACAAGATAAAATATTTATACACAGTAAGTCAATAATTAAAGTATTTCATCAGCAAGATATACACGTAACAGCTGGTACATATCGATGAATAAGTGCCTTCATGCCTCACACATCTTAAACATACATAGTAAACCGAAACAAGTCTGAAGTAAGAAAAGAATAGTGGCTGTTGGCTATATGGAATATAAAAACACTTCTCGAAGTAAAAATGGGAATTCTTCAATCCGAGTTTGTCTTTTTAAACTTAAATGAGAGATTGAATACTTGATGCTTAATGAAAAAGATGAGTTGGAGAATCATATTTTCTAATACAAGTTAAAAGCATACCGATGAACTCAACGGAATACAGAATGAATGCAAAACGACAGCCATGCGAAAAACAGAAGTACAGAAGCAAACAAACTTTGTTATACCATAAAACAAAAGCAGAAGAATTCCCTTTAATAAAATAAGTATTACAAAAGACCGAAAAATTCTTTGTGATTTGAAGCATAATTTGAAATCGTTTGAAGCAATTCTGCCCAGAAAGCTGAATCGTCTGTGTTGATATCTGTTGAGAAAAAAACCTAAAAAATGCAAGACTGTGCAACTGTAACAGTCATATAATGCGCGTCATAAAACTATCAAAGCAATATAATACTAAACCAGGGTTTCAACTTCTTTTAGCACAGCATGAATCCTAGTTTACTCTTAAATCTCGCAAGACCCCGACTGTCATACCAGATTATCGCAAAAAAATTCAGTCACTGTTCTTCCATGTTTTCAGCTCAATCCTTGGTCTCACACTTCAGCTGAAGTGCATTTCCACTCTACAATTAAAAAAAGAACATACATTAATCAATGTAGATTTCAGAATCCTTATTGCAACAGAACCTAGTTGATTCACAACTCGACTGCTCTAACAATGTTGAATTCACTCTAAAACACTACCTGCTTGCTGGGAAAGAGTTTATTCAATTTTATAGTGAAGCTTTCGGTAAAGTGATTTGGCTTCGGCGCTTCCATCAGAGTCATACTCTTCATTTGCTGTGCAAAACATAGGAAATCCAAACGATTCTTTTCACCAGCCCAAATAAAAATACATCCATCTAATACAATGATCGTGAAACCAACTACGTGCTTTGCAACCGTAAACTTCGCTTGTTGAGTGCACATTTTCTAACAATCCATCTAAATCAAATACACAAACTACAAAAATCATGTGTGAAGAGAAACTATAAATCCATCATAACTTCATCCACTTGATACAAAAATAACAGAAGTCATAACCATATTGAGAACGCTTCGAAAGACATGCCAAACTGAAGTTCAGTTCATGAAAGAATACAATTACAGCTCCTGATGCTCTTTATAATTACATTCATAAATTAAAAAAAACTTAATAAATGAAATCAAGTTACGAAGAAATTATATTTAACAGAAGAGTTCGAAAAAAAAACATAACTCCCGCTTAAATGGATACTAGCTGTACCTAAATTTAGTCCTGACACAGACAACTTAAATCTAAAAGAAGGAGCTATCTTCAAAGGAAAACTCATCAACTTTATTAAGAAATTAAGTTTTTCTGCAAAGTAAGAACTTATAAGCAACATATAATAGAGAAAGAAAAACAAAAGAATACAGGTAAATTAAAAAATTAAATTTCTGACTACTCCTCCTTAAGCTCTAGTAATTTTCGTCCAAATCACAAATCATTACAGATATTATGTAAATGACAAACACGAAATCACTACCAACAGATAAATACATTACACGCATTAATTTCGGATGTCAAAATTAATCACATAATATATTTTAAGAAAGCGTAATTTAAGCAAAATACCCGAGAAATATCGTTCAAAGAAGCTAATTCTGAAAACTAAATCGAAGAGAGTAATAATATGCAATTCATGACTCCATCGAACTTCTGTTGATGAGCTAAATCAATTAGTTAAATATTCACTGAATAATATTTTTTTTCCTTAAAATTCAGTTAGTGTTGTTTTAGTAAACACAGAAGTCGCATGTGACCTTAGGAAATACGATCATCCCATAAGGAATTGTACGTAAATCATGTACGCAGAAATCTAACACACAGGAATAAGGCTCATTATGTTTCAGAGTATTTTTTTAGGATTTATCAAAGCTCTTCAATGAAACAATATTTGGGAAGCAGCAAATGTTATCGTAACTCGTCTTTATACCTCCAGCCTTCCCCTTCTTTAATGAATAATAGCGGATGATAAACTATTCCTTGTTCCTAAAAAGATTTTTTCATTCTATATATAAGAGAGATGGAAAAAACACAACCAACATGGGAAAAGCTAAATCACATGAAATTTTTAAACCTGTCGTCTTTTTGCTTCATCTCTCTGTCTTTGTTCAATCCACTTTTTTGCAGCAGTAGCAATGTGTAAATTATTTTTCTTCAATGCAACTGTAACATGCCTCCATAAACGACGCGATTCCCTATCACCTTGCTTTGCAACAGGTTCACATTCCTATTATAATGTGCTTAAAATATGTCCGTATTCCACAAAAAGCATCGAAACGCAAAAAATGTACTGTTTTTGATTATAGCATTAAAAATCGTCCCAAGAAGTACCTTTTTAACTTCTGGATATTGCTTTACATTAACAAACACATATTCTTCACCATTTATTGGTTTCGCAAATATTATATTATTCCATTCCCCTTTTACTGTAAGAATGGGTTTCCTAAAGCCTGAACGATAAATGTTCCCACTTATACGATGAGCCTTTCCACCAAAAAATGGTTTTGTTAGAAAATCGATTTCAGCTGAATATCCGGTTTTAATGCAATTGACGGTTATCTAAAATAGTATATCATACATCGAATCTATATACTAAAATTTACACTAAAAATTCTCAAAGCATTAAAATTTCCATCAAAAAAAGAATACACTTCATCTAAAAGTTATCAAATTCATAATAACTAATAATGGAAAAACCAACTTTCCCACCCAATTCAATCCAAGGCGTACTCATGATGGAACGTCCATAACCATTTGGAAATGTTAACACATATTCTTCATCGTGTTCATGCAATTTCACGGTTCCCCAACCAATATTGGTGACTCCTAGAAGATTTTTTTTCCAGCCAGAATCGAAATTAACTTAATCACCTTTGTTTCAGTTGTCAGGCTCGAAATCTGACAACCTCATCAAGTTTCATCAACATAATCAAAATTATTTCGGCATTAAATTGACAATGAATTGAAAATTTTGAAATAAATTTCAAATAATCACCAATAGAAAGTCCCAGGAATGAAGACTTCGTCCAGATGTGTCCTGTAAAGGAAATTTTCTTACCAACATTTTCAGCATAAAAGGCCGAAACGGGCGGATGATGACTAACTTGTTCTGCTACAAATGTTAAGTCATTGAGATCGGATCCAGGAAAAGGACCACGTTTAGTTAGTTCCATAGCTTTTTTCAAACCAGGGGTTTGCCATCGACCTGTAAAAAGCCAAATAAAACTATCTGAAAACATTTTGCTATTTTACAGGAACTACTAAGCAGATAGAGTAATCACAATAAGAAAACAGAGTTTTGATTCGCAATTGAGAAATTACTCACAACGAAATGTTTCTCCTAAAATAGGATTATATGGTTTTTTAGCAACTCCACTTTTACGAGCTGCATAAAATGATCCCAAATAATATCGAACCACAGAAATAAAACGTTCTTCTGCAGACGGAATGTCGGTAGATATAATAAAACTGTTAGGATGTGCAAAAAAATCCGCATACATTTCAAGAAGAGAGCGTCGTTCAAGAATAAATGTTGGCAGTGTTACTTTTGTCAAATCCATTCCAACACTGACCTAAAATTTAGCTGATAGTTTGATGGAAAGCCCAAAGAGTAACAACAAAATATGTATATTATGTACTTACAAAAAGTCCTAAATACTTGACTAATAAGGTTCATTTACATCAAATAACAACTAATTGGGAAATAAAATATAATTATTTCAAAAAAATTAGGTTTCCCATATTAGAAGGACTTTAACCAATCACAACTCATTTGCATTAGAAGTACCTGAGAAAGAAGATGCATAAGTATAGAACCATGTTGTTGCTGTACATTACCAACATCATGTTCTTCAGCATCTTCATAAATAACATCGAAATTTTCATTATCATCTCCAAAGTCTGGTTCATCAGTGGACCTTTTTTTCGATCGAGAACTTTTTTTTCCTGGATTACTATGAAACCCTGAATTTTCTGAGCCATTTGAAGAATCATCAACAGGCAATGATTTATCATCATCAATCGGAGTTTCAGCATCGAAATATTCATCTTCACTACTTGAGTATGAAATTGGAGGGACTATAACTTTCGCCTAAAAGTTAAGAAGCCTATTAATTGAAAAAATATTAAGCGATATTTGCAAGATTTTCATTTTAAAAAATAGACATCATACTCAGACACTCACTTTTACGTTCAGATTGTGAAGCAAATTAGAAGATGAATTCTACATAATTTTCTCTTGCTTTAACCTAACTTCCATTTTTTTGAAAAGAGACACAGTAATGAAAATGTGCATGATGTTTAGTGATACAAAATAAACAGTTTCTCCATAAAAATCTAGCATTGGAACAAAGTGAAAAGAAAAAAAAATGAATGAAACATAAATCTTATTACCGAACTCTGAGATGATTCTTCATCACCAACATCTAAATCCAATAACGAAATACCCTCTATATGACTCCTAGCCATCTGAAGCAAAATCACTGCATGCTTTACTGTATCCAACAAACTGTTCGCTGATTTCACCAAGTCATCTATTGACTTCAATATATCAGAATTTGCTGATAATGACAATCCTTCTAGATGTCGAACCTATAATAGTTGAAAATTATGCCCTGAGCTACCATTTGAATTACTATGGTACCGGATTTCAATTGTTTGCACTAATAGAGGGATTACAAGATATTTCTTATCTATATATCGTTACTAAACGCATATCAAATAGATATTTCAAAAGAAAAACTCTCGAAACAGAAACCTCATTAATCATATCTTGTAGATGCTTATCCGCTTCAACAGCTTTTGCTTTTAAAATCATTGGTGAATTTGATGGAACTATACGATAATAACCGTTCTGCTGGTGAATAATTGTTTCTATAGCACGAATCCAATTATTTCGTTCAACTTCATCTCGTCCCTACAAGGAAGATTATTAATGAATCTTGCTTGAGAAATATCTATTATATGCTTCTAAAGGTCTAAAAATATTCTAAGCAAATTCCTGCTCAACAGTAAAAGAGTAAAAAATCACTGATGACATAAACTCCATTTTTATAGAGACATTTTTTTTAACAAATAAGACCATAATTTTATATACAAATTGATTGTTTAAATGTAAGTAATACGATGGAGCTGAATTATAGTAAAATGTACCTGAAGATGGAATGTTTTGCCATCAACCGTAACTGTAAACAAGGAATTATTCTCACCATCAATACCAATTACAGCGCTACGCAGACGAATGCATCCACGCTGTTGTCCCTTCATCATTTTCTCTTTAGACGTATAATAGTACAATGCGTCATCTCTCAGTACAAACCATCTATATTGCCATCCATGGACAACATTAGTCCATTTTGACAATGGACCTTCCATACCAAAATTTCTATGATTAAATAAATGCTTATTCTCCATAAATACGAATGTCAAGCATAGTTACTAAAATAATTTAAGCAATCGGCAAAAGTCCTTAAAACTCAACACATCTCTTGAATGAAATCTAAAATACACCATGTCAAATATATATAATGAGATCTTGAAATGCTGATCTGATAGCGAACACATGTACTAATGTCACTAAGATCAAGCTTAGATATCACCACAAAAAACTATTGAACAATTCATATAAATAGCAATCATTCTGATACAACAGCGATTCCTTACATTCTTTTTTCTTGCAAATGTTTTGCAGATCAAACTTTTAACCACTTCAAACATTTCAAAGCACACAATGTAATATTCAGCTTGAAAAACAAAGACAATCAATTATAGCTAAAAAATCACAAAACTACTCAATAATATTGGACACAAATGATACTAGCCTTCTGTCATCAAGCGAAACTGCGAACATACCTGATGAAAAAGTCTTCAAAGTAATAATTTACCGAAGAAAGAGGTCAGTTTTAATTACCATATAAAATATAATTGATGAAAAGATCCACCGATATAATAAAACAACCACCTCAATTTCTGTTAATAAAATAATAACACAAAGGTACTTTAACCTTAATAAACTGCAAGCGATCCTCAGTATTCTTAAATATATGCAAATTGCAGTACTAAATTTGACAACAAGAATTGTGCAACCAAGACATACCCTCTTCACATTCCATAAAAAAGACTACCTCTAATATATTAAGAAATTTATAAACACATAGGTGTAATGACACATACAGATAACTCTTTACTGTGGTAACAAAACCGATCAACTTCAAAAGAATATAAATCACTACACATTACATATCAACATGATATGATAACCTTTGACCCTTTATTTCACGGGCCGTACTTGATTTGATTTGTTAAAAGTTGTCTCATATGTAAGTAATAGATTCGGCGAGGATTGTTAATTTTTTACTTAGATTAAACACGCAATTCACAATGGAACGAGGGTACTTTTTGTATGTATTCACCTTCCTTTAATTTTTTTCGATATTTTGTGAATTTGATGCATTCCAGGATTGGTTTATAGTGCAACAGTTTAGGACCAATTTAAATAATCTCTCGCGGGAAAGATTATAATCATTTTAATCGTTATATTTTAGTTTAAATTTACTAGCTATGACTTAGCTAAATAATCTGTCACTTATGTCTATTCAAAATAATTGATTACAAAAAAGATTATTATTATTCTTCATTTAGTTTATAATTTTTAGATAATTGTAAAAATAAAATATTATTGTTATGAATGAAATATTGTGCAAATTTCTTAAAAATAAATATTGTAAGAAGTGAAAAATTACAATTTTTAATAGTAAATAGAAAGAGAAGAACAAAATTTAAAATAATCATCACCAAAGATTGAAAAGTAAAGTAAGGTAGCAATGGTAATAGTTGAGAGTGATTTATTTACATTTAATTTTATCTGTTAACTTTTCCGTTTGAGACTTTCAACAGCAACTGCTACTGCTTTATCAAGCGCGCTATCAGTCAATAGTACTATCATTATCACTGCTTGTACCTGTACCTGTAGCTACCCACAGCTGTACCTGTACCTGTGCTTGTACCTAGTAGTAAGATTCTTTTAGATTTAATTCATAATTGCATTCTGAGAGTTTTTGAATTTCTTTTTTTCCAAATCCTTTTATTTTATTGTTTTTTTCTGTACTTCTTTTTTGCTGTTTTCTGTAGATGCATTTTGGTTATTTATCAGATTACATAATGTTTATTTTTTGTTGTCTTTCGTTCATAGCTAATTTTGTTCAGTCGTACATCAACTTTTCAAACATCTTTGTTTCTGCCATTCTTTTCGTTTAGCTTGAAAAACAAAAAACAAAAAATGAATTATTTTGTCTCAGTCTCATCGTACTACTCATTATTTATCCTTCTGCTAACTGTATCTTGAACTTAAGGAAAGTAAAGCTAATTTGCTTTGTCACTAAATCCAAGTGTGAATATAAAAGAACTGAAAATCAGTTCTGCTCACGTTCATAGAAAGCAGAATATTGCTTTCTGTAAAAGCAGTAAAAAAATAACTAAGACGCTTGAAAATATGCCATCAACTTTTGCGGTTTCTGATCAATTAAAGTGTATTAGTGCTTTTTTATTCTTACTAATATTCTGTTTCAAACGTGTTTGAGAACGTTTAGATTTATGATTCCTTGTTGGAACCTGGAACTGAGCGTGTAAACTCAGTCTGTTTTGGTTATTTTAAACATCAAATTGAAAGTGAAAAGAAAATGTAACTTCTAGAAGACTGCACTATGTATTAGATACTTTCAATGAAAGCATATCCTAATATCTTTGCTTGCATTTTGTTTCAATATTTGCTATACAAATGAATGCTAGAATCTTTTAGGCATAAATGATAATCTAAAAAACTGTAGTTTTTTTCAGAGTAATACTGAAGTTTGGGCAGTGAAAATTGAAGAAGTTGTGAGTAATGAAAGTTTTTTAATTTTGTGTTTTGAATGCTAAAGTAAAATAAAATTGTAATTGATTGTGTCACGCTTCTGTTCTTCATTGGTTATTTTGATAAATTAGATGTAGGTGAAGGCGAGAGCAGAAGGATGAAAGCTAAGCTTACTATCATTAAGGTTTTAAACTAATCTTTCTTTTTTCTCCTTTCCTTCTACTTATAGATCTTTTAGTTTTTTTTCAAAAAAAAGTTGTTTACTTTTTTCTGATATAAGTAAATGATAATAAGCTTTTGAAGAAGAAAACTGAAATTATTTTGTCGAAAAATTATTATTGTATTCTTTGGTAATAATTTGTACCAATGTAATGCATTTTAGGTGCTAAAATTTTTTTATTCAAAGAAAAATAAAAATACTTTTGATAGTTTGTAATCAGTCATTATAAATAGCATGCAATCATTCATGCTTGAAAGGAAGAAACGTTCAACATTTGCTCATGTTAACAAAAGTAATACTTTCGTCAATTTTCTTCCTTCTGCGAATAAAATACAATTCTGAAAAATAGTCTGGTTATGGAATAATTAGTGATAACAAGCTTACTTGTATTAAGAAGTAGTCACTTTTTTATTAGACAATATATATTGTATTTAATAAAAAGTTCACTTCGAAAATGTTCACAAAAACATTTTTTTAAAGAATTATAAAGTATTTTTTGTTATAACTTGCCAGCTGCCTTTTATAAGGAAGACCAGTTTATAACAGATCAAGTCATTTCGAATCTCAAATAATTAATTCATTCAATATTTGCAGGATTATTATTATTTTTGTGCATCAAAGTATTTGTAGAATCATTTTTTTTCCTGTGAATTTTCAAATTTTTGAAATTTGTGAATATTTAAGTGTTTGCAGAATTATCTTTTTTTTTTCTTCGAATTTTTAAATGTTAAAATGTTTGCAGAATTATTATATTATTTTGTCAGTTCGAAAATTTTTTCAGAGGTAATGTTAATGCGTTGTTGAGATGTTGCAAAAAATTCGTCAGAGTATATGGCGTGAGGTACGACTTCACATGCATGCTTCACGGGCTTATACAGATGCTCAACTTCGATCAAGTGAACAAGCTTGCACTGTTGCTGATGGTGCTATTGCGCGTATTGACATTGCGCATTTACCTGCTAATCGTCCTACTGAAGACTATTACGCAGCTGCTAAATGTCTTTCATCTGAAGCTTTTTTGTTTGGTAAATGAGATTATATTGACATTTTATTTTTTATACTTTTTCAATAAGTTTTTTACACTGGTTTTATTCTTAGAAACTAAAAATTAGCAAAAAATCTTTTTGTTAAATAAAAATACACAAACAATCTTAGGAGAAAAAAATGACCGTTTATGTACATTTGGTTTTTAAATAAAATCGTAATTTATTTTACTTTTTTGGAAACTAAAATTTTTGAGATGATTTATTTACAGAATTTTAGAGTTTGATGATAATCATCTATTTAAGGTGTATTTGATGGACATGGTGGAGATGCCTGTAGCCGTTATATTTCTACCAGACTTTTCGATTACATATGTAGATCTTCACTGAAACAGCATATTGTCTCGAATTTACCTGCCAAAGTCAATTTACAGTGGTACTTCACCAATGGGGATTTGTCTGATGAAATATACAGGTTATAAAATCTTGCCTCTGCACCTTTAAAAAAAATTAGTTCGTTATATGAATAATTTTTTGTGAATAATGTAAAAATATTAATTTACACGTTATCTGATGTAAATGAGAAGATAACTTAGAAGAAATGATTTTGAATGCATATAATATTTAAAGTAAATGAAAAAGTAATTCTAAACCTTGAAGAAGAGTTTTCAAATTTACTTTCTTCGAGATTAGTTGTAACTTATATTGATGTAAAAAGTTTGCAAAAAATAATAATTTAGGAAGATACATATGGAAAATATAGATAGATTCTTAGAAGAAGTAATGAGCGATGTAACGATTAAAACGATGAGAAGGGCTTTAGAAGTTTCTTTTTCTGCATGTGATGACGACTTATCAAAAAATGCGTTGTCTGCTGAAAATGATGAATTGTCTAAGTACATTTTTGTTTCTGTTTTGTTATTTAAAAAAATTTTTCGTGCGTTATTAATGGTAAAGATTAACGTAACTATGAAATATTATTTTACAGATTTCTTGGTCACAGTTCTAAATATCTTCAGTCGTTTGTGCGATAACTTTGAATGTTCAGACCGAAATTCAAAAGTGTGAAGAACAAGATAGCAGTATTTAAATATGTGCTAAAAAATTATAGGAGGTTTGCTGGAATAGTGACTGCTGGCTCATGTGCTGTTACTGCGCATATCCGTGGTCCAGATTTACATGTCGCCAATTTAGGAGATAGTGCTGCAGTGCTGGGTTTACGCAGTCAAGGTGTTATCTCAGCTATACCTCTCTCTAAGTTACATTGCGTTGACAATTCTGACGAGGTACACTTAATGGATATATAATTTGATCTTTTTGAAAATAATCTTGATAAAACTGCATTTTCCATGCTTATATAATAATTTTCAGTTTTTGGTTTTATCATAAAAGTGAAAAATATAACTGCATATATTGAGATGCATTTCAGGAAGTTAATGTCACAAACAAATTTGGTGTGTAGATGTTGAGTTTTGGACTGCTGAAATAAACAGCTGTTTTGAATCATAAAATATTTATTCTAGGTACATCGAATTCAAACCGCTCATCCACCGAATGAAATAAGGAATCTGCTACTTGGTGGGCGGCTGTTTGGTGAATTATTTCCACTAAGAGCGTTTGGAGATGCTCGGTACAAATGGTCTGCTGCTCAACAAAAGAAGGTGCTTGGAGTAGCGGGAAATTTTTTACCTAATGGATTGAACACACCACCGTATCTTAGCTCTCTTCCTGAAGTATTGATCAATATATTGTGTCATGTATCCATTAATTAATGTCTGAGTATGGACATTCCATTAATTTTCTAAGCTTAACGAATTGAAAATGTTTTTCAACATTCTCGAAATTTAATGCTAGAAATTATGGATTTTAAGTTTACGCATTAATTTGAGTTTCGTAACCATATGTATAATATATATGATTGATTGATTGATATATCATATTAATTTTGGATCTGATTTATAGGTGCTATATCGTCGACTGACTCCAAGTGACCACTTTTTGATACTGGCTTCAGATGGTCTCTGGGACTGCCTTGATGCTGACACAGTGGTACAGTTAGTATTTGATCACACATTGGGTATGCAAACTCTAATTCCGTATAAACCATTTACAGGAACCAGATTATCTCAGGTGCTTGAATTTTTATTCTCGTTTGCACGTCACTTTTTTGTTACAAAGATGCAACACACCAGAAAAATTGTAGACTTTTTGGCTTTACTTTCTGCAATTATTTTTTATTTGCTCATAAATTTATTCTATTTTTCATCAAATATAATCATAAAAATAACAAAGGTGAGAAAAATGTTCTGATAATTATGTTGACTCTATTTGAATAAGAAATTTTTTAATGAGGGCTCCTAGCAGACTGTGATCATGAAGTAAAATATATGTGAAATTCAAATTCAGATCCATGAGGATCTAAAGCAGCGATTAGATGGGACAAGCAAGAAGCCACTAGACGAAAATAGTGCAACACATTTGCTGCGACACGCTCTAGGTGGTGCAGGAGAAGTCTCAACACAGTATTTGCGACTCATTGAAATGTTACAGTTACCACCTGGTGTAGCACGTAAGTACAGAGATGATATCACGATTATTGTCATACATTTCGACGAAAAGTATCTTCAGAAAATGGAAATACATGAACCCCCGAAAGGCTAAAAATATGTCAGCACATCTACTTTTAACTTCTCTGTCCACTAATGCTAATTTGAACACTACACCAGTTTTTGTCAAAAATTATTTATCCAGAGCAGTCATAAATCCTAAATTGTCCCAATAATTAAGTGCTAGGTTACTTCAATGCTTGGAACAGTAATTTTAGAGCAGTAGTTTCCACGGGGCCTGCTATAACTCTTCTAATGAATTACGATACTGCACTGTTGTCCTTGAGTAGTTTTAGGCATAAACTGGTACTTATAATCATATGTAATCACATATTGTTGTATTGTATATACATTATCGCTTCACTCTTATTTAAAGCTCACAGATGTTATTATGACTATCTAACGAAATTCATTTTTGTAGACCGTTGGTCCATGTACATCTTGTACATAATATTTTATCTTTGAAAATAATAAGCACATAACGGATAACACGAAATAATACTGTTGTCATAAAAGGCACCGCAATGCATTCGGAACCAATATCTAAAATCAGTTTGCCTTAGCATTAAGGATTTTCGAGAAAAATATTCCACCTTGATTTGATAATCTTAAGACTGCTAATTTGGATTCAACTCCTGCCTCGTTATTTCTTTGGTTACGTTTTCGTTCTGCAAGTTTGATTAAGATAGAATATTTATAAATTTTTCTGGAATCAAGAAAGTTAAATGTTGATGGGGAATGTAATATTAGAGATAATCTTATTATATGAGAAATAAGGCTTGGAATACTTGTAAAATAAGCTGCTGTTGTACATTGGAATCTGCTAATGAAGCAAGGTAAATTAGGTTTCTGTGAAGAAGCTGTTGGTACTGAAGAGCGTCATTAGCTCTGAAATGTTAATTTCTTTCTCTCATTTCATGAGTTAAGTTAAATAATCTCCTTATCAATGTTTTTTGTTTCATTTATTCACTTATTGATAAAAATATGCATGAAATTACAATAAATGAATGCTTTGTGTATGTACTAATCAACACTAGCAAATTCAACATCGACCAACTTTCCATAATAAAAACCGGGAACAAAACTGCAACGTTAATTTCTGGTGATAAAAACTATCGCCTTCGAAACTACTAGTTGATCGCAACTTTCAAAATGACCAAGAAATTTTAGATTAAACCTGCCCATATTCTGGTATCTCACGATCACTTTGATGAGTTGACCATTCTCATCCAACATTCGTTGAACAGTAGCCTTATCTGGTCTTACACTTGTACTGCCATTAAATGCACCTGACAATGCATATGACATTTTGCTCTCGTTGGACGAAATAATCGTAAAAAACTATTTGTCTGCTGTGGAAAATGTACAACGAAATTACCGAATCGCGTTTCCTTTTGTATCGACTTCACTTCTGAAATATCCAGTTCATCGCACTTCGGAAATATTTGCTGGCCATTTCTAATATTTTCTCACGAAAAGAACTCTCATGACGACCTATACTTATAAAAGCAACCAAAAAACAGTCTTCCCATACTTTCTGCTTGATCAACAATTTATCTTTCTTCTTAAGTAAACAAAAATGAACACAAAGTTAATGCCATAATAGTCCACTGACTATTAAAACTGACATTTAAAAAGCTATATGAGCGCGAAACCTTCATCAATATTGACCATGAACAAAGCAAACTGATGTGACAAGCGTTTAATCCACGATTAAAATAATGTTTATTACCTCATGTGACATTTATGCACTTTGGAATCTAGAAACTTGATTCCACAATGTACGAATTTCTATACAAGATCAAATCACTAATAAAACTTATAAAAACAAAAATCGTGATACTTCAAATAACACCTTGCGACGTTCAAATACAATCAAAAACAAAATACACATTTCATACAAAACTGAAAGACATCTAAAAAATGAGAACACTAGACTATTTGTTTGTGATTCTCGTTCGTTTATTCCACGAAAAATTTTCTGCATAATTTTTCGGTTTTATTATCCTTTCATTAGGTTGCACAACTTCGTAATTCAGATTATTTTTTTCACAAAAGCGAATGGCATCTTCTTTCGATGCAAAATCCATTGCCATTGAAATATTACTCAAAGGGTCTCCACTGAAAATGGAACATTGTAGTGATTTTGAAATGTTTAAATTTGTATGCCAATGTTTTAAATGCAATTATGGACTTTTTAATTTATGCAAAGTTACTCTCAAAATCCATAACTTTGCAAGCATTTTGCAAAAACTTAAATGAAGAAAATTGATAAAACTTCACTCATTATATCAGAAATAAGGCATATATAAGAGGCGAAAAAAGTAAAAAATGACAAACTTCAAATCAATTCATAACATATCAATAATTTCTGAAGAATATTTTGAAATTATAGACTTCATGCAAGGGCATTGGAAAAGATAGTGAAAGAATTCATGGGATTACTACCTTTATATACAGAGCTATGAACTATAATGATTGACTGAAAAATATTATCAACTTACGAGCTAGACCAACCAATCAATGGATTTTCCCATCTTTCTTGATTATCAAACTCGATCTTCCAGGTCTTAGTATTCGCCCAGCCTGACTGAGTAGCTTGACGAGCAGGTCGATATATACGTACACGACGAGAGCATACTACATCCACAGGTGTGCCATCAAGATCTTTAACCTAATAATAATGACTAGTCAGTAATTTTCATCATTAGCAATCATGGCTAGTCTTTTATTTCAAAAACATTACTACACTTGTAGAAAATTAAACATCAAATTAACTAGATTATTTAAAAACCTTTTGTATTCCATCTGGAATCTTAATTTTTTCGGGAGTAGTTACTGGTTCCAATAAATCCTCAAGTGATTTCTTTTCTACGTTTGCAACAGAAAAATGTGAAGGTAAATCAGCAGCAACATTTGCAAAGCGACGTATTCCAAGCGTATATAGTGTTATCACACCCCGTGCAGAGAGCATTCAAATATAAGTTCTACAAAGAAAATCTGACAAATTCATTAAATGCATAAGACATGTTAAATTATCTAAATATCTAAATGACTGATGGAAACTTTTAAGATTCAAATTCAATCACTTAACAGGTCCAATATTTGTTTCAACTCTAAGATCAACATATTACTAAGTTTACCAACTCTAAGATCAAC